TTCAACAAAGCATGTCATAAAAATCATGCTGATGAAGATGATGATGGAAAATTATTTTCCTTTTTCCTTCCACATTTTTTCATTATTTTCAATTTCTATCTTTATAACTATAGAATGAACGAGTGTGTAAATTGAAACCAGAAATGTTGCATCATCAAGCTTTGATAAGCTCTCGAAAAGACAATAATTTTGATGAGTCTGTCGAGAGAATAACACTTCACTTATGATGATTATTTTAGTTTCCATAAATCCTATAATCCCTCAATTCTTAAAATTGTACGTCAAAAGTCCGCAATAATATAATTTCCACACCAAACAGTAAGTCTCGTAATTCATTTTAATAGCTTTCCACTAACAAAACGTTTAAATCAAATAAAAGAAATCACAATGGCAAAATGTCTTTAAACTTTCTAATAGCCTCGTCAATTTTTCTTCATCTCATAATGTCATTTACATCCAACATTGTCATAACCATCACCATCCACTATTCTCATCATTTATTCATTCGTATCCACTAGCTCAACAAGCCAGATCTAATTTATTCGCGACGACAGGCGTTAAAATTGTTGTTTGAAGAAAGAGTGGCAACACAAAGCATCTTTATGTCCTAGTTTATCAATAAATGGTAATTATGAACTACGTGTTTTTCAAGATAAAGTAATTCACATCATGTTTCATCAACCAATTATCATCATAATTGTTATGAATAGCAAAAGAATTTAAAACGAAAGCGAAAAGGACATAAGAGAAGAAATTAAAGCTCTCAGGAGATATAAATAGAATAAATGATGTGAATTCAATGAAATGTCATTTGAACCTGTTTGTGACAATTTTACTTTTTTTTCCTGCTTATTCACTCAAGTATGCCACTCACGAATGAATGAAGGAGTGAGTGGAGACTTGTCGAGACGTATATAGGAAGCATTATTCAGTACACATAGGATATGTGAGATGGGCAGAAAAATGAACAATTTTCAATTGCCATTGGAGCAGCACACGTTTCATTTTGTGAATAAAAAGGCTTTCCTTTTTTTTTATTTATTTAATGCAATACTTTTATGTGGATTTAAAGAAAAGGGAAGATTTTCCAATATAAATATGAATTCACATAAATTACTGTCAAGTAAAGAGAATTTTTTTTGATTAATAAATGAAAATGGCAATAAAATCGCTGTAAATTTTCTTCTTTGTTAGAATTTACTGTCGAATGTTCATTCATGCTGAAGAGACACACACACACACACAAAAGCTAGCTTATCATTTCTCATCATTATCAGAGATTTACAGATTCATTTATTAAAAAGAAAAGAATGAGGATGAAAGTAATAAGAATGAATTCATGATTTTTGGAGGACGAAAGGAGTTATTAAAAGCAGTCAAGTGGAATTTTTTGTTCCTTGGCCTTTTGTTAACGTTGAATGTAAAAACGAAAATCATTATAAAGTTGCCAATTTCATAAAAGAGCACAAAAGTGAATAATGAGCCAAGTTTGCAGATCTTTTTGTTCCTTAGCTTTACTAGACATGAAATAAAATTGAATGAAATTTTTTTGAGAACAATACGTTGATAAATCATTACTGCAGAATCTTAAGACACTGAGATTATAACTGTATGATAATTCAAGCACCATTGATGAGCAGATAAGAGCTCAAAATAAGTTTTAAAGTTCATGCAAAATGAAAGCTTTTATAAAATGTCAAACAATATTTTTCAAAAATTTGCACAACTAAGAACATTTTTACACTCGCATGATAGTGATAAAATGGGAAATGAAATGAAAAAAAGCAACAACATAGAACAAAAGTTTTTCCGTGTGTGAACTGCTGTTGTGTTCACAAATGCAATCCTTAAATTATTTTATGCACACACAGAAAAATGGTGAGAGGATATGCAACTTTGATAACTGAATAATTTAAATAAATTTTCTCTCTCATTGTGTTTATGAATTTTCAAGTGGATTAAAATTATGATGAAAAGGCAGTGCACATATGGTTTTGCACATATTTCATCACACACGTACACGTATTTTTTGTTTGGTATTGAAAAAAGTTCTGCTGCTGATGCATTTGCCACTCCACCAGTGCTTATGCATGCATGAATCATGAAAAACAATATTCTTATATGTTTCCTGTTTACTCGTGAATGAAACAGGAGTGAAATGGAATAAAATAAAATATTTGCTTTATGTCAATTTTCATAGCACGGAGAACTTTAAGAAAACAATGCATCACGAAAAGGTGTTAAGAGAAAAACATGCATACAGTGAGGGTTAGAAAATCAAATGAGGGAGTTGCAGTAAATCTTTAATCCTTTTTAAATTCATTCATTCCAGCAGCAGAAGCTCGCTATTGAAATATTTTTTTTTTTTTTCAATTACTGTTTTGCAGCCATTATCATATGAAACATCTGCAGAAGAGGAAAACAATAAAAAAAATCACTGCCCGGTTTTTTTTAAAAAAATCCTTTTTTGAGCCAATGCTAGTGGTTGCTTACTGTTAACTTCAATGTTGCCAAATCGTCCCCCTTTTATTATTTTATGAGCATAGGCGTCACTAAAATTGCTGTCGCGGGAATTGGCAAACATAAGAATTTACTTGCAATTACTACATTTAAACTCAATTTTGCTTCTCGTTGTCTACTTATTCATTTCTGTTATTGCTTAAACTTAATAACAATTTCATAATTTTCTGAATAAATGTGTCACTAAATGGTGGAATTTCCTTAACAAGTTATACTGAATCTCCGAGATTATTCATGCATACATTTATTTTATTACTGTACAACTTCATGCTATGTTCATAGTTTGAGTAAAACAAATCTATTAGAGGAAGAGATGTTGCCAAGAAATTGTAACTCATTCTGTTTAAACTATTCAAGCTTTAAAGCGCTTTATCTCATTTCTAGTGCGTTTGCAAACTTATAATCTTCAATTTCTTTTAAGTCCATGTGCAAGTTTATGCATTATGTAGATGTGCCAAAAAAAAAGAAAAGGAAACGAAATAACATCACCGAGAGAAAGTGGAACAAAGGAAAAAAAAATCAATGATTTAATTCCATTCTACTGCCCAGCTTTTTCTCGTTCTGGTTTACTTTTAAAAGATTTATAATCTTATCTTAAAGAATAACTTCATTGAATGTTTATCCGTCATCAACTGACCACTCTCTACTTGAAATGTTGCAAAGCAGGTCCTTAATTACATTTTGTATACACTAAACAAAGTATTCAGTAAATACAATGTAAGCAAACTTTAATTTTGGTATAAAAAACATAAGAATGATGGAAGCAAGTAACAGACGAGAGAAAGAAAAGAAATTTAGGGTGGTATGATTGCACAAACGTGATATCGCATTGTTAATGGGCAATTGAAATAAAAGTAACGAGAAATATTTACAGGCAAAGAAAGCATTTCACATCGACATCCAAGTAAGTTCTCCCATCAATCATAGGAAAGAAGAAAGATGATACATATAGTTGTAGCATGTACATAAATAAATACTTGAAGTAAAATGTGTGATGTATGATTTATATGGCAGCTTCGGAAGTATTAAGCAGATGGAAGTGTTCCATCTTATTCCACAAAAATTCATTTTCCTTGAATAAATTATATTTGATACATTGAGATGAGATATGATCAAGGAAAAATTCTATAAGGACGTCGTTTTTAAGAAAGTAGTTATGACTCCTTAGTTCATCTTTGTACGAAGACTTCATAAATCCGATAAAAAATCCTAAATGAAATCAGCAACAATATTTTAGTAAATAAATTTAAAGAGAAGATAAAATATTGATATTTTGGTATGAGATAGGAAGCAAGCATGAAGCACTACAGGAGAGATGAAAAAAAAAATCCATCATTATATGAAAAAGCAAACAAGGAAAACGATACACATAATTTCCATTATGTGTACTCTGAATAATTAAAGGAAATTAGAAGAAGTGAATGAGGAGATATTTCATGCCTTTTTGCTCAAGGGATGAAAAGTTTGGAGGAAATTGTGTTAAAGGATTGTAGGTGGATATCATCATGATGAATTTGCGTTGAAAGTAAGATTTATGACAGTTATGAATAATGTCTGCAGTCTTTTCTTTCCACATAACATAATTTGAGGAATTTATATTTAATGGGATGATGCTTGCGACTGTCAAATCCTTTATTTCATTTTCCTGTCTAATTTTTATCGATTTTTCATGTAAGAAGACCATGATCTAGTTAATATGGATTTGCAGTTCGTGTATCTTCATTGAAATCGAAAGTGTTCAAGGATGAGTCAAGATGATCAATATGAAAATATCGAGTTTATAATTGAAAGGGAAATCGTGCCTGATGTAAAAATTGTCGATTTGCAATCATATCATTGTCGACATAAATTTAAAACACGACTTTAAATAATCTGATTGAAACATTTCTGCAAACTCATACGTATTCATGAAATCAATAATTCAGTGGTTCCAAATGAAAATTTTCCGCCTTAATATCACGATTTACCCTTTACACAATACAAGTCAATTTAAACTTAATTTCATGCGAGAAGTTTTTTGTCGATTTTTCATGAAAAAGAATCTGAAGATAATAGCAAAGTTTTGCTGTCGTTTCATGCTTTAACAACTAATTTGACATTCATGTTTGGTTTCTTTTAAAAAAAAAGTTTTCTTTTAAAGTCACACAATTGAGGGAAAACATTCAACAGTATTTTTGGGAACAAGACATGAAAATGTAGATCTATATTAATATTTATTGAAAATTCTGCCTACAACACAACTTTTATTTTTTTCTTTGCTTGTATCAATTAAGTAAATTGATTATTGATTAACGTAACTTCGTGTTTTTGCACATTTCTTTGCCCATAAGTACAGTATCATATTTACTTTTTCATAGACGGATAGAATTGGCGACTAGATTTTGCTAATAAGAACATTTACATAATTAAAGTAAGAAGGATCAATTCCATAGGAAGTAGTTTCAAAGTCGCGATAGGAAATGATTAAAATCAAAACTCACCTTAAAGTCTCGCATTACACGACACGTCTCCACAGGACCCATTGGCGAAAATAATGAATGCAGCTCTCGTTCATTCAAATCTTGTGGCAAATAATTAACAATCAAATTTGTTAATGCGTCATTATGTCTTTGAGCTCCAGCTGCTGAGGTTGATGGACCGCTTAGTCCTATTCCTGTTAAAGAACTCGTACTTGATGATGACATATGATGATGTGGAGCAGCACCAAATGTACTGCTTGATGGTAAATCGTACATGCGAGCGCGTGCTGAATATGGTGTTGACGTAAAATCTGTATCCTGATTAAATCCAAATGATGGCGAATGGGAAGCATAATTTGACTGAAACAGTGAAACGGAATTTGAACTTTGCAAAAGCGATTTTGGGGCTTTTCGGAACCGGCGTGAAACACCGGGAAGAGGAAGAATTTTTTTTTCAGATAACAATAAGCACTTGCCAATCACTTAATACCTATTTCTTCTGATTCTCACTCTATTTTTATCGATCTGGATCATCAAATATATCCTTGACACTAATCCTCATTCTTTTCTCTTCTCCATCATGAATAGAATGCACTTTTACCATTTTTTTTGTTCTCACTTTTCACCTCATCCTCTATTTTACATTATTTCTTTTTTATTCATTCTTTATTTGATATACGTATTATGCATGAGAATCAGAAGAATAAGGCACGAGGCATCGAAATTCGTAGCGTATTTTGACAAAACACATGCAGGTGTGCTTCAAGTCTGTCGACTTGTTCTTCTGTGTTAATTTTTGAATGCAAAAGCAACTAGACACCAGGAAAATGCGTTTAAAGCAAGCAGTAAAGGATTCCTTTTTATAAATTTACGTAAAAATATATTGTCTGATAACATTAGCATATAAATGAATTGCATCATCATAAATTGTTATTATATATCGTGTGCCACATTTTCATGTTGTCTATTTTTGCATACGTGTAATGGATAGTGAGGACTTATATACTGTTATGTACTTAAAGTTGTTACTTAAAAGGCTTTAATAGAAGAAAAGCAACATAGAACGTGGGTGAGTGAGTTTTCACAGTCAATGACTGACTAGAGAGCTTTCATCCATTTGAAGTGCGTGGGCATTTCATCAATTGAGAGGAAAAAAAAGGTAAATGCTAAGCTTCACTTGAAAGCTCTTTTATTCTATTGAGACTGAATATTTTAAAAAGTGTTTGGTTTTTTAGCCAGCATGTGAACATTTTTGCATATCAGAAAGGATGAAAAAAAATTGTTTATGCCATGTATGTGGGATTGTTTTTAATTTCATTCGCTGATATGCTTTTTTGAGCACAAGAGCGAGGCAACGCGCCATAACAAATTAATTTAACAGCCTTACAATAAACAATCGAAAGAAGAACTGACGTCACTTTGTAGACAAAGTTATAACTGAATTATAATCAAATTTCCTTGTGCTTTTTCACCTGCTTTAATTGCTAGGAATTGTCATCTCTATGAGATCTTGTTCATAGCTTCGTACTTTAGCCTGGCTTTAGCCATTGACAAATAAAGAAAACTTTCATAGTTCTTAGACAACGTATATCCATTATTTTGATGAGGGTGGATTGTTGGAGAGAAGAAGAGCTTTCGATTATTTCAGAAGCATCTACACACTTCTCATTTTTTCTTCATTGATTAATCCACAAAAATGTATTTTTTTGGCAAGACATACTGGTCACTAGCATTAAGCAGTGCGTTAATCCAATGTTCATTCCAGCTTTGTCACAGCACATTAATCCTTAAAAAAATCATCATATCCAAATCTGTTGATGACATCCACAATTCATCCATAAATCACACAACATTAATATTCCCAATGAAAAAAAAATTTCATGATCCTTTTATGACTCTAAATTGCTGTTTTCCTTTCTGTTCATGTATTTTGGTTTAATTTTCTTCATTCCCGATATTTCACAATAAACGCGCAAACCCAATTTGGCACTTGCAAGCGATACTTACGATTCCCGACGGCAAAGAATGTGAGAAGAAACGGCCATTTCTATTATTTATACCACCAAACATATTCCAATTAAATTTATTATGTTTTGCATTCATTTTATCGCACAAATCAGATCACAATTAATTTTTTTGTTGTTGAAGAAAATTTTTTATATGAAAAAAGAAAGGAAAAAAATATATTTTTAAATTAGAGACACTTTTCATTCACTTTAATGATTGATTTCTATATCCACACAATCAGTATCACTTAATAAATCACCTTGAGCCTCTAAAATTATTATATCCATTCATTTTATTATACATTTTCGCGAAAAATTTTACGTTTCGAGGAAAATATTAAATGAAAAACTCAAAACTGCTAAACGCACTCCTTTTCTAGACGTCCTTTACTCAAACTATCATTTTATTTTATATCCTCTAAGTTTGCTGTCTTGAACCTTGTTCAATTATGAGTTATTCTGTCTTTATAAATTTTGATTATCTGCTCTAGCTATCGAGAAAATGTTAATTCAAGTTTGTTGCTCATTTTTACTGGTTATTTCAAATTTTGTCCCGGGAAATTCAAATATTTTTTTACCGTTTGATTTTTTAGCACTCAACTATTCCTACTACCTATTTAATTAAAGCTGTTTAAAATAGCGTTTATGAATTGGATATATTCACAAAGATTATATTATATTATTACTAGCAATCAATTTAATTGGCATAGACATGCATAGGACTGAAAATCAAAACCTGACAATTATGCATCAAAAGTTTACATTAGTTTGAGTTTAATGTTCTATATTTTTGAACGTTCTATAATTCACAAAATCGCAATATACATTTCAATAAGTTTCATATTTAATGTTTGTCCCATTCAAAAGTCACTCCTGGCTGAGGTAATTTGGTTCTGTAAGAAGATCCAGAGATTAGAAAATGACTGTATATTATATGCTAAATGCTAGTCTTCAAGAACAACAGAAAGAGAATATGACTAGGAACTATATTTTACCGATTCCGGATCACAAATATATGAAGTTACTTACTTTTTAACTCCATCGCCAATAGCTTGTTGTGTCAAATTAACTGGTGGACAAACTATAAGATACAAGACATAAACTTAGACGTAAATCAATGATTGAAATTAATTAAATTACCTTCTCGTCTTGCATCTCTCGACAAATAGTAGTTTGCTGAATATTTATGCGATACACCGTCTGGAATTACAGGTGGTGGTTGGGTACGTGCTGCAATAGTGTCTTCGAATCTTAAAGCATTTGTTGGTTGACGCTGGAATTAAATTAACATAGAATTTCCATCAATTTTCACAATATTGATTATGTAAAAATATAAACACGCAATTAAGATTAAAAATGATACTTACACCAAGTAAGAATGCTCTAAGAGCCTGCAAAAAAGGTGAAACATCACGATGATTGATTTTTGGCGGCATTATTTAAGTGAATTAAGGAATTTTCCTATTTTCACAAATCAAAACACACGACTGTTGACAATAACTTTGAAGCTTCCGTGCAAATTTTTATGTTAATACAAGAATGCGGTATGGAAGTTTATAGCTCAGTTATTAGCGGGTAATTTTGAATATTTTTGTTGAAATTTTAAATGTAATTATTTCGTGAGTTCTAGTCTACTATAATTAACTGTGTAGTATATAAAATGTTGAGTAAGCAACTTAAGTATGTATGACAACAATTTGGGAAATAAACACTTGTTAATTCGTGAGTTATACGTAAAATTAAGATTCAGTTAAAAATCCAAGAATTTGTATAAGAATTAAGACGCATTAAGTAAGATACAGTGAGTTTAATTAAAAGTGTTCAATTTTACGCTAGACTCTTAATCACATATCATCCAGTTAATAAGAATAAACATTATATCAAAGATCCAGACAGCCAAATTGATCAAATAAAAATAATAAAGTAAAGGCACACAAAGTTTGTGCTATGACATCAAGAAGGAAAGACTTACTGTTGCTTTATACGAGAAGTGTTTTTTTGAGAAGAGAGAAAAGAAAAATAGTCGAGTTCAGTACAAATTTTGTCACCGAAGAGCAGTCATATATTCGCTAGTTTACTTACAAAAACGGTGACTTAATCGTGTCGTGGCTGTAGAAAGAAGAAATATTTTTGTTATTCATTCAGCTGCTAAACAGCTGATTTAGTGGAAAATATCAGAATTTTAATAAATTTGTGATTCTTAAAAGGAATCAAGTAAATATCTGTGAATGTAAAACAGTTTAATTAAATTTATATAATGGCTACCGACAATAAAGGATATAGTAGTGAAGAAAATGATCGAACAGTTCCATATTCACAATATGATGGACATTTTGAGGATTATGAGGATGAAGAGCCAGAATTCTCAACATACTTTACAGACCAGAAAGTTGAAATTCCAACATTTCCAGATGATGATAAAGTAAAATTACTTCTCGAAAATTATTCGTCTATAAATACATTTGCATCCAATACTTTTCGATACATACTTAATATGTGATGATGAAACTTTGTTTTTGTGAGAGAACGAGAGGCACAAAAAATTAGTTTTGTCAAGGTTTACTGCACTGCTCTTAGCTTGCCATACATTGATTTCGTGTTATCAAACACCTTTCTTTTGAGTCATCAATTAAATAATCGTTTACATGCACGATCTCGGTGTATGAAAACTGACCGTGACAATAAAGTTATTCGATGCTATGGTACGCCAACGAGTCCTTATTTTCGATATTGATTTTTTTTTGGTACCTTATTTTCGAGCATGAGTTCAAATTTTTTTTTCACGTTAAATTATTAATGTCTAATCTCTTTAATTAATGGTTTACATATTTGTTTTTCATCATCAAAATGCTAAAAGAATCCACTCAACTGTAATGAATCATTACTGATTTGCTAAACAATTAATGCAAGTGAATTAATGACATTTTAATTTTCAATGTAAACAACAACAAAATTTTTTGAATATTTTTGAAAAAAATCATATTAAACTAATGTTTCCTGCATTTATCATCGATTAAACGATTAAATGAGTGTTGATTAACATAGTAGAAGGATTCGATTCATAAATAATAAGTGAATTAAGTCAAAAATTGCGAAAAGTTGAAATTTTCATAAAAAATATGATTTTCGAAATTGCGAAATTTTGTTCGAAAAACATTCGAAACAAGTTTAAACTTATTTTGCTCCAACGTTGACATCGTCTCTTGGCATATCATAGATTCGATGATGTGCGATTTACATTTTTTGTTCCTATAAATAATTTGAGGAAAATAATAAGCTTCTATTTGCTGGCGGGAAGTTAAATGTAAACACGATGACATATGATAAGAATGTTATTGATAATGACAGCAAAGTATTGGAATCGTTAAATGACTAACATGTCGAAAAAATATTTAACTAGTAACGTTAAAACTTTCAGTAAATATCATCTTGCCGATATTTGCATAAGATAACAATACTGAGCTAGATGCTGTTTATAGAAGCAATTCTAATGGATGAAACAATTGAAAAATCACACAATTTTACTTCAAATGTCACTCGATTATGTGCAGCTGAATGACTCATTTGAAGACTGCATTATTACAATTTGCATTGTTTATTCAGTATTTCCGTGAATTTTACAAGCTTCAAATTCATTTTTTTTAAGTGTCTAGTCAGGCTTGGTGTTTACCTTCTTTAAACCTTTTTAAGGCTTCTGATAAGATACTTCAGATACCTTTATCTGCTTATTATTTATTATTATTGTTTTAAAGAAATATCGAAAATGATTAATTTTGTTAAATTTCTGTTCCTTTTAATAGCTCCGATTTAGTTTTAAAAAGTTATGGGTAAGTGATTTGTCTTGATTTATTAAGGGCCAGACACTCCAACAGAATTGTAAAGATTGTATAATTCTTACAATCTTTATATGAGAAGGATTGTAGGGATTGTAATCCGTACAATCCTTATGTGGAAAGGATTGTAGGGATTTTAATCCTTACAATCCTTTCCATATAAGGATTGAAAGGATTAAATAATTGTATGGAACATTTAAAAATGTTTTTCATAGGTTATTAAAGAAGAAATAATATTAAAAATTTATTTGGTTGAATTTAAAGAACGAAATAAGCTTGATATATCAATTTTTTCACTTATAACCAGGGTGATTTAAATCAAAAATCAAAATGTTTTTGCAACGATTTTAAAAAGGGATATCGATTTAAATCTTTTTTTCAAAGGGATTTTATTTGAATTTTGATTTAAATCTCTTGTATGGAAGATTTTATTGGGATTTTAAAAATCCCTCCATTTAAGATTTTTGTTTTCAATTTCTCAAAATATATTTCAAGTCAACAGTTTTCAGTTGCAGTTCCTAATAAGTAAGAATGCCTTTTTTGCCAGAATCTTGCATCTGGATCTTTTAGATCGAAGCATTTCTCAAAAAAAGTTTACATTTCTTTAAGATTTCATCATCAATTCATCAATTTTTTTCATCATCAAAATTAATGATGTTTTTCATCACAGAGTTTTTTCATTCATTTTGGTCCGTGATCAAAATCCCAAAAATAATCCCCATACAAAAATGATTTAAATCAAAATTTCTTTTAAAAATCATTGCAAAAAGATTTTGATTTTGATTTTTGATTTAAATCACTTATATGAAAAGGAGGATTGTACAATCCTCACAATTTGTATGGAAGGATTGTACAATCCTTACAATTCTGTTGGAGTGTCTGACCCTTGAATTTATGTCATTTTTGACTAATTTTTTAAATTCCTAATTGATACCTTTTGTCTATTTGTAGGCATTCACGGGACCTGGATTTCTTATGAGGTAATTTTATATACCTTTTTAATCAGAGCTCGACTTCAACATTCAAACAGTTCCAAATAGCTTACTAAGCAACCTAATTGTTATAAAAATAATTTAATTTTCTGATAAGATTAAATCCGCTTCACTTTTTCTTATCAATGAAATCATTTTTCCTTTATTAAACCAATAAACTTCACACAAGATAGTAAATACCAGTTGCTTTCTAATCTAGGAAACCCCAAATGATTAAGAAATGCTAAATTAATTACGCAAATTAATGAATCTTTAACATTTTCTACTTTTTCCACCATTTTTGATGATGATAATTAAACAATCAGCATAGGTATGAATAGCTCTCAATAAATAAATTAACACCAAGTTAATTTTAAACATTCTTAACATTTCAGCATACCTCGATCCTGGAAATATCGAGAGTGATCTACAATCTGGAGTCGTAGCTAAATATAGACTTTTATGGGTACTCATGTGGGCAACAATATTAGGTCTTCTTATGCAACGGCTGTCTATGAGAATTGGTGTTGTAACGGGCTTACATCTAGCTGAAATGTGTTACAGACAATACAAAAGACTGCCTAGAATACTTTTATGGATTATGATTGAAATAGCTATTATAGGTTCCGACATGCAGGAAGTAATTGGAACGTAAGATGATCTGTTGTAATGGAATTTTTACAGATTTAAATTATCTTATATTAATTACAGCGCAATTGCAATTTATTTGTTATCAATGAAAGCGTAAGTATCAGCTATTAAGTCATGATACATTTCCCTTTTATTAATTTATCATTAATATTCTATTTCCAGTATTCCTATTTACGTTGGAGTGATTATCACAGTTTTTGACACATTCACATTCCTGTTGATGGACAAATATGGACTGAGGAAATTGGAGTTCTTCTTCGCATTTCTAATTACAGTCATGGCTGTAACGTTTGGCTATGAGTTCTTTATCGTTAAACCTGAAGCAACAGAAATGATCAAAGGAGCTTTAATTCCATGGTGTGAAGGTTGTGATAGTCGAGCATTACTTCAAGCTATTGGAATTGTTGGAGCAGTCATTATGCCACATAACTTATATCTTCATTCAGCACTAGTTAAATCTAGAAAAGTTGATCGACATCAGCCATCAAAAGTCAAGGAAGCAAATTATTATTTCTTTATTGAGGCATCGATTGCACTTTTCGTTTCATTTTTAATCAACGTATTTGTTGTTTCTGTATTTGCACATGGACTTAGTGGAAAGACAAATGAACAGATTGTCGAGCAATGTCAAAATAAGACTATTTATGAAGAAGCTAAAGCAATATTTGTTGGAGATGAACTAGATGCTGATATTTATAAAGGTGGAATTTTTCTAGGCTGTTCATTTGGAGTCTTTGCTATGTATGTGTGGGCTATTGGCATTTTAGCTGCTGGACAGAGCTCAACTGTGAGTAGATTTTGAGTTTTCTTATGCCTTTCTATTATTTTAATGACAAATATTTAGATGACAGGAACATATTCTGGTCAATTTGCGATGGAAGGCTTCCTTAATCTAAAATGGGCTCGATGGCATAGAGTTTTGGTAACTCGAATGATTGCAGTAGTTCCAACATTCGCTGTCGGTGAGTTCATTTGAGGAATTAAATTATGATTTCATTTAAACGCTTTTAGAATCCACAGCACACAAAATAATGAGAGAAACAAAATTTCATAGTTTTAAAGCCACACACATAACATACAGCACTCGAATTCTAATTACCAAATATTTGATCAATTGGCACTAACAGCAAATAATATTACTAACGTTATTTATTCCACATGAATTGAACATAATCATGCATGATATAAAATTCCATTTCATATTTTCTTCAACAGCATTTTACAGTGAAATTGAACAAGTAACGAAAATGAATGACTATCTGAATGCTATAATGGCACTTCAACTGCCATTTGCAACAATTCCTACAATTGCGTTCTCATCATCAGTGGGTAAAGTTTAGAAATGACTATTAAGTTGATATTTGATTTTAATTTTTGCAACTTTCATCCTTAACAGCAATTATGGGAGAGTTTGTGAATGGATTTTGGAATAAATTGATATCAATTTTGTTAAGCGTCACAGTGATAGGAATAAATTTAGCATTTATTATTAGTCGAATCAATTTGGCTCATCTGACTGGCATGTGGATAGCATTAATTGGTATGTCTGAGTTTGACTGTAGATAATTCCTAATTGCCTTAAAGTTTGTCTTTTAAAGTAAATATTTTAAATTTCACAGTGATATTTTCAATATTCTACGTTCTGTTCTGTATATATTTGGTCATTCACATGATCTGCCTAATGAAATCCGATGGTGCATTATCGCAATCCAATTTTGCGAGAAAATATGTAATTAAGAACACAAGTCATTTGGCAGATGCTGGAAATGATTCTTCAGTAACAAGGTATGCGACAATGCCTATTCGCTAAATTGTATTGATGCTTATAACATAATAATTAATATTATATTAAGGAGATTCATTGTTACTAACAAAACTTTTCTATTTCTCTTCTTCTTCTTTTATATTTTGGCTAATACAAAATTTCTGACGCAAAATTTGTAACAAATCAATTATAATGTACACTCAAATATTTATTTGATCATCAGGCCACTGGTTTATTAGCAAACTTATCACAACTTTATGTGCCATTTACACACATACATACGAATTTTTATACTGTACAATATATTATGAAAAGTCAAATGCTCACAGCACTATGTATGTTCCAATCATAATGACATGATGGTGATTTTTGTACCAAAAAATGAAATACAGAGAATAATCAACTAACAAAAATTAATAATTTTTACAGTGCTAATACCGTTCGCAAACGGATAATTACAGACGATAAAGTTGTGAATACAAAATTGTAAAAAACAATGTCAAAAGACAAAAACAAAACTTAATTAACAAATTACACAATCCATAATGTATCTCAAAAACATCATTATTTATAGAAATATTCTTTTCAGAAAAGAGTAAAATAAAGAAGATTATTTAAATAAAGAAAACTGGTTCCTTTAAGTTTTATCTTAACATGCTTTTGTGTCTATCAGGTAAGTTAAATCGATCCTTAGCGAGATGAGACTCAAAGTGTGTCATCTTTAAACTTTAAAATTTCAGCTCAACTTAAAGATTTATGTTTTTAAACTTATTATAGTCTCACTAAGCTTGTTCATTCTGTCTGTCGTTTTTGAATTTAAAGTTTATGCTTAGATTTTTCGATTTTTTTTTATTAAGCAATAACAGTATTAATAATCCTCAAAAATATAATATGGTAAATGTATCAGTGCTATTGGCTATGTAACGGGCCATTAACAATTCACAAAATAAATGCGCAATAATCAAAATATAATAAGCCAAAACATCCATCAGAATTGAATGTAAATATATAATATAAAGTTCGGCAAGACGATCCAACCTCAAACGAGAACTTAAATTTAAAAAAAAATTTCACTACTACCATCTAAGAAATAAGTCAAAAAATTTCAACTTACCATTTAGTAGCCACTGTAGACAGCAAGATTTTTGAACTTTGGCTTTGATTTAGGCTTTCTTTGCTTCTTGGGTTTAGATTTGAGCTTTGATTCTTCACACTTCTTTTCAACATATCCATGAATGAATGGATCCATATTGATTTTCATGGGAACTTCAGGTTCAATTGGCTTATCAGCTTCAAATGCCTTATCTCCGGTTCGGGAATTTGAAGTCGATGAAGCTTCTTGACACTTTACATCCACATTATAGCAAGTTGAGTCACTTGCTGAAGATTCAAAATGGACCAGTTCAATCGATGTGCTTTGCTGATCAAATCCAGAATCTTCAGCATCAATTATATCACACCAACTCAGCATTTGTGGAGGTTTGTCTTCTGATAATTCGACTGATGAAACCAGCATGTCAGATTCAGAAGCCATTGGTTCAACAAAGGATTCGAAATGTCCGTCAGTATGTTGAATAGCTTGAACAAATGCAGAACATTGAACTTCAACATTCGATGCTACGCAATCAATTTCCACAGCTTGATCTTCATTCTGACTTGACTCGCAGATCTGATCATGTTCTTCTACATCTTGATGATTTGATTCCAAATCATCATTTTGAAAAGCTTGAAAAACATCTTGATTTGATTCGTTGTTACGGTGTTGGAACTGATGCTCAAACTCTTCATTATCGTCGTCATCTCCAAACTGTGTATCTGAATCATAATCATGATCATAATCATCAGGTCGACTAAGAAATTCATTCCAGTCCACTTCAAACACATCAGATTCACTAGCGTCAGTTTCTTCAATATATTGATCGTTAAAAATAAAATTTCGATCCAATGTTGAATGCAAGTCATTGATGTAATAGCTCATATTCTCAATTTCTTGTTGCAAGCTTTCTTCTTTCCGTTCCCAATCTTCAACTGCCTTTCGAAATTTCACCTTGGTTCGACGATTCTCCTCGGTGCTGTCATTAATGAAAGACTTTAATTCCTCAAGTTCATTGTTAACTGCATTCACTTGTTTCTTGCATTCTCGATCGACAAGTTTATGTTTTAAGGTTAAGATTTGATTTGAAGCTTCTCTGACTTTTAGAGTCTTCACTTTCATAACCAATAAATACTTTAGGTTGTCAAGTTCTTCACAAAGTGTTGCAGCTTCTTGATCTCGAAGGTTCTTATTATGACATTCGATGATTTCTGCCACTTCTCGCATTGTTGAATCGTTGAGTTCTTGATTATCTTCCTGGATTGCCATTTTGTTCAAGAGAGTTTGAAAAATACTTCTGAATTGTATCACAAGAAAAACTTTTTGAAATTCGATAATGAAAATTTCTGAACAAGTTTACTGAAATCCAATTTTCATTTTCGTGAAAAGTTTTGATGAAATTTATTTTGTTGAATTTGGTGAGATTATAATATTATTAATGAGGAATTACTTTAACAAAGGTATTCATTAATCATTAATTTCATATCCTAGAAATATGGAATGCATAACGGTAACATAATATTCGAAATTTTCAATTGCTGTTGAAGGTTTTGAAAACCATACAGTGAGGTTCCAAAACGCTGAGAAAAAATAAACAATATTAAAAATTAATCAAATTCTTATCAAAATCACTATAATTAAGACCCAATTTGTGCATAAACTTATAATATAATATCTAGTAAAAATGTGTAAGTATAAAAAGTGATGAAAAAGCATGAAGTTATGATTTTTATCTGTAAATTATTGCAAGCATCATTTTTTCAAATGCCGAATTACTATTTTCACAAATCTAGCTGACCGCGAAAGAGATAGACGAGATAGAAGATATCGTTCACGTTCTAGAGAACGAAGACGCTCAAGATCCAGAGGAGAAAGAGAATTTCGCCGAAAAAGGTAATTTTTTTATTATGAAATTTTCAAAACATCCAGAATACTACATCCAGTAAATGTTTTTAGTCGTTCACGAGACAGAGGAGGAGCAGCAACTAAATCTTCACGACGACGAAAGCCTTCCTTATATTGGGATGTTCCACCACCTGGCTTTGAACACATTACTCCACTACAATATAAAGCTATGCAAGCTGCAGGACAAATCCCTGCAAATATTGTAGCTGATACGCCTCAAGCAGCAGTTCCAGTTGTTGGGTCGACAATTACAAGGCAAGCAAGAAGATTATATGTCGGGAATATACCTTTTGGTGTGACTGAAGAAGAAATGATGGAATTTTTCAATCAACAAATGCATCTGTCAGGTTTAGCTCAAGCCGCAGGAAATCCAGTTCTAGCGTGCCAAATTAATTTAGACAAGAATTTTGCATTCTTAGAGTTTAGGTCAATCGATGAGACAACACAAGCTATGGCTTTTGATGGTAAGAAGTACATGTTTAATATATAATTATATTTGATTCTAAAATGATTTATGTCATGCAGGAATCAACTTCAAAGGACAGAGTTTGAAAATCCGTAGACCACATGATTATCAGCCAATGCCAGGAATGACAGATTCAATGCCAGTGAGCACACCAGTTCTTGGAGTTATTTCAACAGTCGTTCCAGATTCTCCACACAAAATCTTCATTGGCGGTCTGCCAAATTACTTGAACGAAGATCAGGTATGTCTTTCAAATCGCGCGGGTTTACGTGAATACTTTTTTCTAAAAACATTTTCTATAACAACAAACTCAACGTATGTCTCTTTCAAAAATTTTTGCCTCAGGTCTCAAGCTCGCCACAGAAAAATAAGTGCACCATATACAGACAGAAAATTCATATTCTTGCGCTTTCAAAAAGAGTCGAAAATATTCTTCTTCTATCTTCTTTTTTATTTATTTTCATTTTTTCTTCTATACAGCATAGAAAAGAAAAGTTCATGTTCTGTGCGGGGCGATTGTGAACATTTATTTATTTTTTTACATTCAATTTAGCTGTCCACAGACTGTCAGACATTTATTTAAGTATGATTCGCCGAAATCATCTCACTTCGTGGAGATCAAAAACATATTTTTCTTTCCCTTTAGGATCATTTAGCTCTTTTTTACAGTGACATGCTTTTCCATTAATTTAGAGAGGGGAAAAAATTCTGTGGTCTAGAGGCGAGCTGCAAACTTTTCGTTTCAGCCTGTGCACAAAAAATATTGCTTTTTATAATAACACAAAAAAAAAATCCCACATTTTTCTAGCAATCAGCCATAAAGCATTTTAATTTAACAGTGCAGCTCGATGGTTTTCGATAAAAGAAGATAAATATTTGTGGACATTTTTTTATAGCTATGAAGAAAAAAAAATTAACCACCTAAAGAATGAGCGATTTAATGGAAGTAGAGAAAGAAGTGAAAGTTTAGACGGTTGTCATAGTGACAATAGTGCTTTTTCCATGTAACTTGTCAGTAAATTAATCAAAACTCTTTCAAGTATGTCATTCATTTACCACTAACTCGGTAATTTAATTAGTATTTCAAAAGGGTTTCCGTGAATAAGTTTAAAATTCGTTTGCAGACATGAATTTGTTAAAAATAGAAGTAATGAACGATATGAGCCTGACATGATGCAAAATGCCGTGTTGGTGCAAACATAGAGTTCTAAAGATTTGTTTTAGAGCATTTTTTGACAGAACCAGAATGGAATCTAGTCAGTTTAATTTTTTTTAAGTCAATACCAAGGATGCGGAACTGATAAATCAATATTGGTCGACTACTTAGTCCAGTTCGAGATCTGATGTTTATAAACAAAAAACTTATTGCGATGTTAACTGCCGCTATGGATTCAGTAGCCAGTTTAAGTACAGCATGTACGGAGACAGATTCCGAAAATAATTTAATTTAAAAGCAAGCTCAATTTACAATTTAAAAGTTCCTAGTATTCAATAACAGAAGTAGGCGTAAGCGAACAGACAATTTGCTAATAGCGCTTTAAGGTTTCATGGAAATCGTGCTGGAAACAAAGAAATCTTTCGTTTCAGCTCATACTTTTGTTTCAGCAAATTTATGTTAATTTATTCCCAAATTTATTTTAGCTTTTAGCTCATGATCCTCAATGGTTAATACTTTGCGCACATAAACACTAAAAATAGAGCATTTCCCGAAAAAAAAACTATAATAATAATAATAACAATATTTAGCACTGACGGTTGATTTTGGTAAAATGAATCAAATATTTGTGTAAATTTATTTTCTTTTCTAAAGGGACACTGCGCACATTAATATAACAATAATTTTTTAGGGATACAGTAACTTTATTGAGATAAAAAAAAATAGAGAGAAAAATGTAAATGTGAAAAAGATTTTTTCAGAGACGTGAATATGGATGGGTGGAATAGATATAAAACTTGATTGAATTTTCCAATTTTATTTTTTCAATCAACACGAAAACTTTATCGTCATCAAAATTTTACCTTTTTCTTTTCCCATTTTGTTCTGTCTTCCATAAATTATGTTCACAGGTCAAAGAATTGCTATTGTCTTTTGGACAATTAAAAGCATTCAATTTGGTGAAGGATGCAGCAACGGGACTAAGTAAAGGGTATGCTTTTGCTGAATATGTAGAATATGCGATAACAGATCAGGCAATTGCTGGACTGAATGGAATGCAATTGGGCGATAAGAAATTGATTGTACAGCGTGCGAGTGTTGGAGCCAAAAATGCAGCAACTGGTGTCGGTCAATCAGCACCTGTACAAATTCAAGTTCCTGGACTTTCAATTGTTGGCGCTTCTGGACCTGCTACTGAAGTTTTATGTCTTTTGAACATGGTTACTACAGATGAATTGAAAGACGAAGAGGAATATGATGATATTCTTGAAGATATTAAGGAAGAATGCAACAAATATGGAGTTGTCAGAAGTATCGAGATTCCACGACCAATCGAAGGTAAGTTTTTATTATTTTATGGACAACATATCATGATGATTAATTATTGCTTATTTCTATCTATATAGGAGTTGACGTGCCGGGCTGTGGTAAAGTATTTGTTGAATTTAATTCCGTTATGGATTGTCAGCATGCTCAACAAGCACTGACTGGAAGAAAATTCAGTGATCGTGTCGTTGTCACATCATATTTTGATCCTGACAAATATCATCATCGTGAATTTTAAATTGTATCATCAAATAAGCAAACGCGTGTGTGTATGTGTTAAGGAAGCAGATAGATGACTTTTTAAGAGAAGACACAAAGTTGATGAACAAACATTTTCACTTATAAAATATATTTTTTTTTCTCTCTTTTCCTTCGACGAATGTTTGCTCATTCATTCGTGACATTTTTTGCTGCCTCCTTTTTTTCCTTCCTCAAGCATCCTTCATTTCTTCCTACCGAAAAAAAAAAAAATTCCATTTAATTAAAGATAAACATTTTCAACTGAACAAGAAACTTCTCTACTTTCTTTTTTATCTTCTGTCAAACCAGATATAGAATCAGAAATGTCCAATGAATGGACACAAAACACGACACGGCAGTTTGAATTTTATTTTATATACACATTTTTTTTTTCGTGTGCCCTTTTCCCTGTGCTTACGGCATCATCTTGATATATTTCATTCCCTCTTTAATGAAATAATGTTCCTCATGCCTTTTCTCATTTCATTTTTTTTTATCAGTACAACAAAATAATAAGTAACAGAAAAGGAGGAAATTTTTTTCTTACATTTTCCAATTTCTAAGGACAATCTTAGATGATGAAAAATTGTGTGCTGTATGAGTTGGGAGTTATGATAAAAATAAGTTGCTTTATAGGAAAACGCATTTCTATTCGCATGACTTTTTTTTTTAGACAAAATGAACACTTTGACGATATAAGTTGAGCCTTAAAAATGCTCCAAGGATTCATCTAATATATATTTATTAAAAAATATATGTCTTAAGTTCCCCACGTGCGAAAAAAGCTGTTCATATTTTCCATGTAATATCTCTCTCCCACTCATTTTCTTGAGCAGAGTCTATGAAAGTGAAATTTTCCTCCTAAGAAATGAAATATGAGGGCAGTAGAAACATGTATAGATATAAATACTAAACATAACGAAGGAATGAAGAAATAAAGATTCACGAAAATGAAAATTTAAGGAACCTTAAAAATGCTGTTTTTTTGTTTAATTTACTGTAACATGTTGTAGATTGATGAAGTTACTAGATGTTGCATGCTGCAGACTTTCAATTAATTTAATTTTGAATTAATCAGTAGTTAAAATAACAACTTAGCTGCTGCACATTGAATCCCATGAATATTTGATTTCCCAGTAAATTATTCAATAACTCAAAATCTACAAGGAATTTTCAATAAATTAAGCTGGCTTCTCATTTCCCTGATGACTTCTTATATCTTTGTCGTCTCGTGCCTCCCAAGAATCATTATTGAATTTTTCTATAAAGTTACAAGTGTGGGGCTGCTTACATTTGATGTCTATTAAAAAAAAGTCAAAGCTATAATGCCTCAAAATCCTTAGCTAAGCATTGCTTCGACTTAGAATGGGATAGAACAGTTTAATTTTAAACATTAAAGTGCCTTGCTGGTCGAAAAGGTAAGACGCTTCGCTCAAATTTGGATGGTAACTCGAAAGTCGTTGGTTCGAATCCAGCCATTTCTAAATTTGTTCTTTTTCGGAAGTTTAGATACTTCAACTGCTTAATGTACGGGATCAAGCCATAATTGGGCATTTGAGCAACATTGGATTAAGTAACGGGTAAGAAACAGAGCTCTTATTTGAAACCTAGATTTGAACATTGGAAGTTTGATCCTACATAATATTAATTGATATGTTGATGACAGACGATAATTTGTCTGCTTGAAGCTCACCATTTTCTAGTCCACATGATTCAAATTTTACAAAAATCCTCTTTTAATTTAAGGATGAAAAAGTCATGGTCATCATTTATGAATGACTCGATAGCAACGAAATGACACAAATTGAAAAATTCATTGATTGAAAAATGTCTCTTATCCCTAGTGCTTCATCCTACTCGACTATATCAAAAACCTTTTTGATTTATTTCAAAGCAATTTTTTTATTACTTCCGAAAAGCAATAAGTAGCTTGTTCCTTTGTATGGAGGACAGTAGAGACAATTTATGTGATTTCTGTGAGAGTTAATATTATGTCAAGTTGGAAGTCAAATTGCTTTATTCATTCCTCATGGATGCAAAACATCAATAAGCTGTGAGGAATTTGATTTGACAATGATGGAAGTGCCAATAAAGATCGGAGTTGCCTCAAAGCTTGAGAATCTCATTTTATCATAACCTAAGCAATCTTTATGATTGTTTCAATATTTTCTGTCAGCTTAAAGTCATTACTGCATTCATAACCGCCATAAAAAAATCCATAATGATGTTGACAGTCATGTAAAAATTTGTATTCAGAAGAATATTACACAGATTACATTTCAAATTCCATTTTCATATTCCTTTCAATACAAAAGAAGGTCTTTTGAGGATTAGAAATAATTAATGCGTATAATTTATTCCAGACAATCCGGTTCAGCCTATTTTTTTTTTTTGAAATCCGTCGACATGAAAAAAGTCTTGCAATTACCATTTTTATGACAATAATTCTCTTCCTTTCATTCTTTGCGAATTTGCATTTCTTGTTTTATTTCATAGAACAAGAAATGAATGGGAAAAAAGGACGAAAAGATGAAATAATTGAAGTTGCCATGAAAAAAACAAATAAAAGAATGTTTTCTCTGTCTTTATCGCAGATTCCATTAGGGTCGTTCACTTATGACGTCCGAAATCAACGGTCATTTTTCAAAAAAGAACAATAGATTTCCAGTAGTTTCTATTATTCTTTTCTTACTGACCCCCCCCCCCCCCCCCCTCTATGAAGTTGCCATGAAAAAAACAAATAAAAGATGTTTTCTCTGTCTTTATCGCAGATTCCATTAGGGTCGTTCACTTATGACGTCCGAAATTAACGGTCATTTTTCAAAAAAGAACAATAGATTTCCAGGAATTTCTATTGTTCTTTTCTTACTGACCCCCCCCCCCCCCCCTTCCCCTGGACGTCATAAGTGAACGGCCCCATTGCTAACATGAACATTTGTAAAGTTGATGAATTCTTTCTAAGCTTTCTTTTATTTTCGCGACCGCGAATAAATTTATGGCATTTAAACAAGGATGATGATGATGATGAAGAATGGAAATAGAAGAAAGAAAAGTTTTCATTTTTCTTTTGTATTTACGATTCTATTGAAATCTCATAATCTCTTTTGAGGCAAGCTTAATTGATTATGTTTTAATGGAAGCAGCAGAAATATGGATTTCTTGTTTAAATATTGATTTATTACAATAAAATGAGAGGATTTCTGGGGCTTCTTACTGTAAATTCCAAGATTTCTATTCAAGTCATGCAAAATTTAACTTTCTGGATTAGTTCTAATGATTGATTCGAAAAATATTATTTCATCCTTTATCTTAAAAGTTTAGCTTCGTTCTATATCCTGAGGGAAAGATAAAATATTTATGTTACAAAAGCTTCCATTTATCGTCAAAACTTCATCGACTGATGCTGTAAAGTATCGATGGATTAAACGTTTGAAATCATCGAATGGGAAATGCAAATTCGCTGACTTGCCATACATCCAAAGATTTAACAATTGAGATTTTGAATAATAGTAAATTGACAATCGGTAGCCAGCGAAAGAGCCAATTTTAGGCGGCATCTGAGGAAGATCACAACTGATCTGTAAGATCATCGAAGCAAGTAAGTAAGCATCTCCATTTATCATTAAATATTTATTAATTGGAAAGAGAACAGTTAATCGAGTGAAGACTATGCGCTATATACTGAGCTAGCGGACATAATATATATTTAAGAATTATTAATGTTAAGAATAAAATTGTAGCGCTGATAGGTTTTAGTAATATTTATGACTCACTCGATACAGCAAAAAATAAACTTTCCCGTCAATTTCACTCTGCTTCAAAACTCCAAAAGTGCATCGATCTCAACAACACTTACATAACTGCTTTTAATACATCGGAAACCAACAAAAAATTTGCAAATTGGATTTCCATTTCTAAAAATATCATCACTCTTAAGTTTCATCATCACATCGTAACTTCCTCATTCATTTATAACTTTATTTTGCGACCTAATGTCCAAAGTTTCATTCGACATCATATAACTTAACATCCAATTAAGTGTGTTATGAAGTAATCATTTTATAGACACTTATGGCCCTTGCTTGCATTTCTTTTCTGACTAAGAAAGCAAAAAAGAGAGCCATGCAAGTTTATTACTATTACATCTTTGGATGTCTTCAATAACCTCATATCAAGCGAGAGAGAGATGAGATCATAACATATGAAATCATATGGAAGGAATAGCTCCACATCTATTGCTCTATAAATGTCATGCGATTGTAATTTCTCTCATTTCTTTTTCACATTGCTGTCGTCGTGATTGTTGATTGCACAAAAAGAAAGAGGTAAGAATAAGAAGAAGAATTGCACGTCATGCACGAATGTAAGATAGACGAATTGAAATGAAAGTGAAATGAGAAGAAAAAAAAGTTGTGCTGATTTTTTCTTTTCTTTTTTCTTCATCGTCACAATTGCATTTTATTTCTCACACTTTTGTGTGTTTGAGAGCACTTAAGTGAGATTACTCCCATGTAGATCGTAGCCGATTGCCATTTTGATAAAACCACAAAGATTATTTGTTGATTCGCATTACATTTTGCGATGCTCCTTTTTTTTGTGGCTCATGGAACATCCATTAGGGTGGATATGAATGAAATATGGCGCAGATATATCTAAATGGAAAACTTCTGTTAAATGCTAGAATGCTTTAATATGACAATGAGTAGAGCAACAAGCACTGCATACTAGAAATTCTAATTTATGATTTTAATACAACTTCTACAAAAGTACGTCTGCCTTACGTGTAATAAGACATCGCTTGGCTGGAACCCTCTCACATTATTATTGGCAGTGGGGGGGGGGGGGGGGGGTCTAGGACGCTTTAAAAATTGGCACCAAAATTTAAAATCGTGCAAAACCTAATTCTGGGAAGAGAAAATCTTAAGAATTGATCTAGAGCTAAAAAAGAAACCTTGCTACTCCTCTGATTCGTCATCAAAAAATTTCATCGACATTAATTCTCTATCATTTTGTTTTCATCAAAACATCTGCTTGACGCGTTGCATAACAACGCAAAAAAAAATAAAAATTCATCAATTAACAATTACAATATGAGTTTAAAAATGCTCATCTCATTTAAGACATGCTGCTACTTCGTGCAGTAAATAAAAAAATCTTTTAGTTTCTCTCAATTGTTTTTGTTCATTTCCATACCTAATTTCTAAAGTTGCACGATTCACAGAGTTATTGAGGGGGTAAGAACTATGGTTTTTAGATATTCATAAAGTTTATAGGTTTTCATCTTAGGGGCCATTCACTTATTACGTAACGCTTTTAGGGGGAGGGGCGGGGGGTCTGAGATTTTGTTACGATTCAAACAAGGAAATTTTTTTTTCATACAAATTTTGTTACGAGGGGGGGGGGGGGGGTCTAAGAAGTCAATTTTTCGCGTTTACGTAATAAGTGAACAGCCCCTTACGGTTCAAACAAAATAATTTATTTTTCATACAAATTTTGTTACGAGGGGGGTCGGGGGGGGTTATAAAAATAGTTTTTTCGCGTTACGTATTAAGTGAACGGCCCCTGAAGAATTGAAGCCTATTTGACTCAAAATTTAAACCAAATAAATCATAAATTTTTCAATAAAACTTAAAAGTATATGCCTTGACATGTGACGTCAATGGAAAGTTTTTTGTAATTTTTAACTTCATGGCACACTCTTTTAAGTTTCAAACAAAAATTTTATTTTTTTGAAGATTTGAGATGTCATAGATATTGATTCAAGAAAGCCTTATTATCAGTCAGAATCAAAACCCTCCACCAGAAGCCCATCCCTTGAATCTCAAATAAATGAGATCGTGGCAAAGAAATTACCGAGCTACTAGAAGACATAACTACATAAAGTTACATATTTCAATACAATCGCATAGAAAACCAGTTTAATCGCTTTAATTTCACCGGCATTGACGACTATGCCATTCACAAGCTTA